AGTTCAAGTCTGGGACTCTCCCATGAAAGACCCCTCCTAGCACTGTTTTTACCCAAGGCAGTAACTGAGCCCTGCTACTCCACTTGCTACTTTTGAGGTTCGCAGCTGTGAAGCCTACCAGGTGTATGAGCACCCCCTCCAACTGCTACCCACTGCTTGACCAGGTTGGTTATCCCTGATGTGCAGTTTTCACATGGGCAGCAGCGATCTTGGAATAGATCCCAAATGTGTGGGAATTAGCATAGTCCCACATAATGATTTATTGTGTGTGCCTCATGGCCATCTTGCGCGTGCAGTTGTTTGTTGGGTTTTCTTGTTTGGTGTTTGTGGGTTTTTTTTTCTTTTTTTAATTGCAAAATAACATTTGAAACTAAATGCATTAAAACTGCTTGGTATTTTACAGCACAACATAATATCCCTGAATACTGTTACAGAGAGTATCCAACACTACTTGACAAGTGCTTTGCAAAACTATTCAGCTAGAACATGCCCCCCCTCATCCCCATCGAACCAGCCCAACGTCCAAACTTCTCGGCAGGGTTTATCTCCCACGTCTGGATTTCTGGTAGCTATATGTAGGTTTAAAAATATTCTCTTTACGTTCTGCTAACTTCCAAACAAACTGTCCCCGTCTTTCTCTAGAAAGGCAACAAAATGGCTCAGAAGACAGCAGTCACATCCTGCGCACCGACGCCCACAGGCGCACACAGCAGCGGTGCATATACTTAAGCTGTCTCTAACACACATCATTTTCCTTATTACTAAGTACTCGTCTCTTCCCATTTCTGTGCCTTTAAAATAAAAGATTTATACGTGCGTACATACACATAGGAGAAGAAAGAGCAAGGGCAAAAAAGTGCGGGAATTGATTTGTCTGCCTCTAGATCCCTCAATCAAATGTCTTGAGTGATCTCTCCAGATTCTGATCCAAATCCAAAGCCTGTGAAGATTATCAACTACTAGTGTGGCATACAGAATAATTTTGGAGAAAAATTGTCATCTAAGTGCCTAGATTTAAAGTGTATCTGTAATAAGTATGTCATGTGGCACAGGCATCTCTCCAAGAGGGTGCTTTGTAGTTTGCCATGCACACTCTGGCATGTTTAGTTTTCTTCAGAAATTAAGGATACATGGTATTTAACCCATGTAAGCTAATAAAATTTGCATTTCTTAAAAACATTGATGAGGGTTGGAGGGTTTTTTTGTTATCATTTTCTGATACACACTGTAATGCCTCCAAACCTTCAAGGAATATCAATTATTTTTCACTCTGTACCTTTACATAATCCATGTGCTTTTCTGATGATGTGCTCTACCAAACACCAAAATGCTGTGCGTGATATGTTGTTTCTTTTCTTACATTTGTGTTACTCTGGAAAGCTGTAACACCCTCTTTTGAGTTGAGAAGCTATGTGTTTATGCTGAGTTTGGGAATCATTAACATCCTAAAAGCTTTAAGGTTTTTTTTCAGGTAAGCCCCCTATTTTTTACTTAGCTTGTCCTGTTTTCTCTTAGTTTCTCACTGCTGAAATCAGGCCAGGTATTTAATGAAGGTGATTTTTTTTTTTTTTCATGAGATATTATACTTCTTATTAACTTTGTTCTGTTGAGGAATAACATTCAAATAACCTTCTCTGGGATTACTTGGATATTTCCATTTCCCGCCTTGACTAGGAAAGGAGGAGAATACCTGATATGAAACATGTCATTGGTTGTGGGTTTGTAGAGCTCCACAGAAGTTTGTCTTTTAGTAGGACTTCGGTATTTAAGCAAAATTTTAAGTAATCCATCTGGGTAGTTCATTCAGCTATGGCACTTGGGAAGATGAAAAAACCTTTTCCCTATAGAATCATAGAATGGTTTGGGTTGGAAGGGACCTTAAAGATCATCCAGTTCCAACCTCCCTGCCATGGACAGGGACACCTTCCACTAGACCAGGCTGCTCAAAGCCTCATCCAGCCTGGCCTTGGACCCTTCCAGGGATGAGGCATCCACAGCTTCTCTGGGTTGTTCTGTGACAACCTCAAACCAACAGCAATGTGAGGATCTTGCTGTCTTCCAAACTGTTGGTGAAATTGTATCGAGAGTCTGGAGAAAATAAGTAATATTTCATCAAACTTTGTCTTTGAGCATCCTCTTTTTTGGGTGTGGGTTTGTTTTAGTTGTTTTTCCCATCTCAGACCTGGATTTCTAGTTGGCATTGGTACAGAGACAAAAGAAATTACTGATTGGAAAATATAACACGGTCAAAGGGAAATTTCTTACCATGAAAAGAAGGCTTTGCCTCCAGAAAAACCTAGGTGTTTTTTGTTCCCACGATTAATGTGACTATTTTATCTCATGGGAGTTGTTATTCCAGCCCCTTGCTGTGTCCCTTGCCTTCTAGCGAGCCTTGTCCCTCAAGCGGGTCACTTGTTCAGCCTCAGGGAGAGCCTGCAGTGTATCATGGGGAGCAGGGGCTGACCGGAGGGAGAATGGGGAAAAAACCAGTAAATGCCACATTTGAGGCAATGTTCAGTTTAAAATGCCTTTTTTTTTTTTTTTTCCCCTCTATTGAGTCATTTGCTACATCAGGGACTTGGTGTGTGCAAAGCTTAGCAAACGGTAGTGGATTGTTCTAATAACAAACTGCATGAAATCAATCCTTTCTTTGAATTATTTCAAGAATAATTAATCCTACAAAAGTCAATTTCCAAAAACATCAGAGAAATGCAATATATTAAACTTATTTAGTAAAGTCATTGTCAGCCAGCTCCTAAGAGACCCCGCATATAGTGGAGGAGGATACAAAGACAAATGCAATGAAACATTTCAATATTTCTATCCTTTAAACTTTCCATTTGGCAGAAAGTTCCAATAGCTTGGTTTTTGATCTTTGTTCAAGACAAAAACAGATGTCAAAACATAGTCACTTCCTTCACAGCAACAGCTTATATGTTTGATCAGCTTTAGTGACTTTTGGAAGTATGATCTTCTTCAGATAGGGTGCATTCTTGTCAAACAGATGGGAATAATACCTCCATTAATATCTTCATTACTTTCTTATATATTTCTTGCCCTTCTCAAATATCCTTGTGTTTATATGTTCCCATTCTGACGCATTTTCCAGCACGTTTATTGCCCTCCTTCAGTAGGCTTTGACACTGTAGGATGACAGTACTGTCACAAACACTAGAATCCCTGAACAAACATGATTGGAAGTGGCCAGCAGCTTAAAAATTTTTGCTTGATGTTTATTCTTTGGTTTGAAGTAGTGGACGAAAATATTTGCATAAATGAATTTTTAATAGATACTAAAAATAAAAAGCTGCTGAAGAAAATATAGCTTGTCTACATTATCATGCAATTTTAATTATGCAAGCATTTATGTTCTTTGTGTATTTTGACTTGGGGCCATGTGAGACACATGACTGAACTGTCACTCACGCAGAGTTAATTATAATTTCTCCATATAGGGGGAAAAATCCCTGGGAAAATACGATAACACTTTTCATTGGCAGTAAACACTAGTTGCTGTTAGTCATTTGAGAAAATTATTCTTAGCAGACTATACAAACGCTGTAGTTCAATGTGTTCCCTGAAAAGAGGTGCATTAGCACGTGGCTAGATCTGCTACAAGAATAGATTTTATTGGCTCAGGAACTGTATCCTTCTGTACCATAGCATTTATTTCATTTTTTCTTTCCCGTGAACAGGAGAATTTATTTTGATTCAGTGTCTGATAATCCAAGCCACATTATTTAAAATAATATTGACTTGGCATGTGCTGAGAGTAAAATGGTATTCTTAGTTGCTTTTATACAGTATCGCAAACCAAAGTCTTTAGATAATACAGAACCAGTTTGTAGAGAGTGTTTAGACTTTGCACTTCTTCTTTTCCCAGGTAAATGGCACATAACTAGTTGTCACTGACACGTAGGGCGACAAATGGATAAAGCAAGCATGGATTCTGAGATCTATAATTTTTAATAATTTTTAAACTAGCTACAAAATGTCAATCACTTCACAAACTGACAGGAGACATAAGGAATTTCATATTACATGCTGTAAATTATATTTATCTCACAGTTTATCTAGAGTTCATTCATTTAGGTTTTTTTATTATTTTTTAATTAAGTTAGCTACTAAACATCTCAGCGATTTGGTGTGCATAGCTCTAGGTAAGCAACAAAGAACTGTACCGATAACAAACCACATGGGGATAGCGACTAGTAAGAGAGAGCCTTATAAAAATTACATTTCTTTGCACCATTTCATATGGTAGTCATTTCTTCCAAAAGATAGTCTTCAAAAGCAGCAGACAAACCCAATATATTACACTTATTTCTTTTTGTCTTTGACATATTTTCAGCCAAGCTTTTATTTTGCTGGCAATGGCTAAATGGTGAGTGCCAAATCCCTCCTTTTTTTCATAATAAAAAAAAAATGATCATGATTAATAACTATATATATATCAACAAGAAAAAAGTGGCACAACTGCAAACTTGCTGGTATAACATAGTCCCAAAAGAGTCCGAATACTGAGCATGCTTTTGTTGTCATTGTTGGTGTGCTACTGCCATGGGAAAATTCTTGTTTAAGTAGGAGTCTAAAAGTCTATTTATTCCTCATGCATAAATGCATAAATCACATCACTTTTTAGTGCAATGCTTGTTATAGTAATATAATTCCACATTGTCTAATCATGAAATCATAACAACAGATAATGGCAATGAAGAACTGAAGACAGCAGGTTTAAGTGCTTAAACATCGTGATACCCAAAGACAGGAGCATGGCAGTAGCTCTGTGGAATGTCACAGTTTTACAAGAACAATACTGTATATTTAAAGGTTAACAGCACGTTTAGCATTCCAACAGTGTTGTCATTCAGCAAACATCATTTAAAAAGAAAAGGAAAAAAAAAAAAAAAGGGAAAGGAATCCAAAACCGAAAGGAAAGGAAAATTCCCCCAAAACATCATAGTGAGCTATAGCCATCAAATCAGCACTATATCCAAAACAGAAAGAAGGAAAGGAAAATTCCCCCAAAACATCATAGTGAGCTATAGCCATCAAATCAGCACTATGTACAACCTTTGGAAAGAAAGAGATCTAGAAAAAAATAATTACAAGTATCATTTTTGGAAAGCTGACAAAGTACACAGGACAACATTTACAATGGGGCTGATATGTGCATGTGTGCAAACCTAGTAGGTAAATACCATGATAAAAGCATGAAGGTACTGCCCTGTCCGACAGCGTTAAAAGGAAATGCACTTCACTGCATTTAACCACTGCCCAGCATCTTTGTTGCACGCTGGTTGGCTTCGTCAATCCTGGTTTTGTTGGAATCGGCCTAGGGAAACGCAGAGGGAAGAAACAGGTGAATACAAGGCAGAAAGAGAACATCTACAATGCTTTGTGGACATTTCTCTAGTTTTGGCTGGGTCAGGAAAAAGCAGTGGCTTGAAAATACCGGAGAGCTGCTTTTCATAGTGGTATTAGGGACCCAAAAGGAAATTGCAGACCTGTTGGTTCTGTCACACTTAGGTAGCCCTTGAGTAGAGTTTTAATGTTCATATTCAGCTTCACTGAACTCTTGTAAATGCTGTGCTAGATTTGTAGCTGGTGCTATGGATGGCTCCAGCAGTATTGATGGTAACGGATGACAGGATGAGAATTGATGATGCGCACCTGGAGTTCACTGGTAAAAAGCTTCAGTGCTCTCTAAGGTTGAGTGGACCTGAACTCTGTTCTAATTTAGGTCACCAGGCATGCACTCAGAACTAAAATTTTGGTCAGCGTAGAAAACGCCTGGAGCAGAGAAGGTAGATCGTCTGAGGTAGGAAATGCAGGCAAAAATAAATTTCTTTGAAAATGTATCAGTCTGGATCTTTCTGCTCTACATGCGGAAGGAATAGAATAGAAAAGAGTGATGCCATTATTCCTTTTTCTCAACAAAGTTCACCAGTGGAGTTGCAAGACGTAGTAACCTCTCTCACCGGGCAGCAGCATAAGCAGGAATTAAGAAAAGGCGAGTATTCTACCACTATTTGAAGCAATCAAACTGGAATTAAGTCCAGTGTAGGCTGAACCTTTAATTTCACTGTCTTCCATGGGGCAACAGTTGCCATGATTATAAATGTTGTTAATAAAAAGGCACCGCTTGGGAGGTTTAGGAGTTCTCTTGGAGTGGGAAGACTCTTTGACCATGGCTTTCTGTAGCTCTGCAGAAATTGGCTTTGGAGACGAAAGACATTGTTCTAGCTGACAAAAATTGGCAAAGCTCTCTTCAAGCCCATGTTGCTATGCTGATTTATGCTAGCAGAGGGACTAGATAGAAAATGTTTTCAGCTTTTTAAATCAGACCTGTGGGAAAGGTGAGAATTGTGTTCCTGCTTTAAAAGCATGAACTCAAAGACCAAACTCTCTTCTGTGGTTTGATGGCTTCTTTTTGTTAGCTTTGAGGATTGTTCCCACATCTCTGGGGTGTATCCAAATTGTACACATCTATTTTAAATCTCCAATTTTTAGAGACAGAATGGTAAAGCAACTTTCCCACATACATTTAAAAATCCTTAAAAAATGGTTATACTGATGTGCAATAAATAATTCTTAAATATCTTGGGTTTTCTCCATAATTGTTTTGGCAAATGCTATGTAGAATTGTATTTTTAGTACAGTAGCATGTGCCAGATCCTCAACAGACATAAATCAGCATAACTACTCACTATAAGCAACACGCCTTTATTTTAGCCGTGAATTTGACCTTGTCTACCACAGTACAGTTTTTGTGCTTTTGCCAAAAGGGTACCTAAAAAATAAGTTAATGGTTTTGGAAGCAGTTACGTTTGTCATGAAATAAATTAATGTTGATTGAATACTGATGAAACATCGTGTTTCTAAATAGGAATACTAAGGTCTTAACTGGTGGATGATGTTGCCTCGAAGTTAGTGGGAGTGTTTGTGCAGACCTTGCCACCTAGGTCAAGACAGTGCTTTGAGCCCTTCCTACTTTCCTCCCAGCCTCCTAATTTTGACTCATTTTAGGGACAGGGTTTTCTGGTGATGATGTCTGGGCCATTTGACCTACAGATCACATCATCATATTGGGTTTTGTCCCTTTCTTTCTGTCCTGAGGGAAGGATAAAGCCTTTTATTCATCGCTATCCTGGTTATTGTGGCTAGATCAGGTTACATCTCTGCATGATGAGATTGCTCTGGTTTGGATTCGTGCATCCAGTTTAACACAAATGCTTTAGGAGCGTTTGGGTTAGCTTTGTGATGCACCACAGCTTTTGCAAAGTGTGCCAGCCAAGGGTCTTCCTAATGATCATAATTCATCAAAAGCCTAGTGCTTCAGCTTGTCAGGAAAAGAAAACTCCAGCAATGCTGTGTGCCCACTATCATGTAGGGAAGATGGTCTGTCGTCATATTTCATTGCAAAATGGATGTGTGTGCATTTGTGGTTCCAGTATTGTCCAGCTAACCGTCATTTCTGTCTTTTGTAGATGGCTCTCCTAATAAATTGTGTTTCTTTTTCTAATATCTCATTACTATGTGTCCTTGCTCTAAGAAATTTGGCGGATTTTCACTAAGATTGGTGACTTGTTTTTGTGCTGCTTTCATGACGGCACCTCTGTGTACGCTGCAAGTCCATCTTTCAGAAATGTGCCACTGTTCTTTAGCCAAGGGCTCAGGCTGACGAGACCTGCCTGTGAGGCTGGATTTAATGAATCACATTAGCTTGCAATGTTGTTTTTCTATTGCTGCACTGCCTAGAGATTTGACCCTTGTGCTTCGTGTGCACAAAGGGCCTGGTCAATGTTTTCAAAATCCAGATGTTTGCAAGCCTGAACCGACAGAAGAACAGTGACTTGTTAGGCTTGCTCTGGTTTGTGATAGTATCCTGCAGGCACAGATAGGTCACAGCTGATTTCCATCCACGGGGCATGTCCCCTGCCGCTACGTTATGTCATGAGTAGGATAGCTGTTAACATGTAATAGTGCATGCCCTCATACTTGCTCTGAGAAATAACGTGTGTCGTAGCCTTCTTATTTAAAGGTAGCTATGATGTAGGTTGTATAATCTTCCAGTCCTTTCTCACAGGGTACGTAGATGTGCTGCTTTTTGTGCTTTTCATTTTAATAACAGCCATAAATCCTTCCCGTTCCCACTCCTATTTTTCCCAGAAATATGAAATGCTACAGCATGGCATCACAGTAATACTGTGCATTTTCCAATACAGTCAAACTAACAGATGCAGCTTTACAGAACAAGACTTCGGACTGACGCAAAGCCATGTGCTCTGCTGCGTTATGTGACTGTCTCTCTGTCAGAGACAAGCTTCCCACCTTTACAACAATGTATGCTTCACTCAGGTCTCTCTGGAATCAAAGTCCAGTAAGGAAAGCTATAAATCCCTCCATGCAGTATTTTCTTTAGTGTTTTTTCACTAGGCTCTGATATATTTAATTGACATGAAAAATAGGCCTGAGCGTGCTGCTCGTGTGAGAAGACTTGCACGTGTCAGAAGGCTCAAGAGTACAAGCTCTACCACTTAAGGTCAGAGTTAACTCTAAGCAGCACATATAAGTCCTTGGGTTAGATCCTTAGCTTGTGTAAATCTCAGTGGAAGTCGAGTGTGGCGTTGATTTTACACCAGATGAAGATCTAGCCTCTTATGTCACTTCAGCCTGGCCGTGCCTGCACCTGGAGCTCTGCCAGTACGAATGCAGATGGCTTGCAGATCTTGGGATCTGAGGATGGCAGTGAGTTCCCAGCTGGGTTTGGAGGGTGCTGCTATCTGCTTCAGAAATCTGCAATGCAGGTCTGGCACTGGAATGGTGTTGTCTGCTGTTTTAGATGGTGATTTTGCAAGAGTAATGCTGAGTTTTTGCATTTCACTGTGGAGCCCAGTTATATACACATACACACACCAAGAGAGGTGGTAGGTCTCTGTCCTTACGTGGTTATAAGCAGGTAGCACAGCAAGACCGCTGCAATATTACCAAATGGCAAAGTCTTGCTTAATAAATCCCCATCCTCTTTTTGGGACTGGTCCTCAATACAGGTGACCCAATTCTGAATTGCTTATGGAGTTTCCGAGGGAAGGGAAAATCCAAGAAAGTTTAAAACAGCCCTGCGGTTTTGCATAGCTAAGGGCACTTCTCTTTTCCAAAGCTGTTGCAGAAGGAGCCTTGATTAAAGAGTCCCCTTACCAGCTGTTGTCTGGCAAACCCAACAGTGTGGGTTCAACCCGACTGCACTCGAGGTTATGGAAGTTCCACAGCGGCCAGCTCTGCTTTGGCCTAAGGATCTTCTTAGGAGATCCTTAAGGAGGATCCTAAGGCCTTCTTTGGCCTTAGGAGGGAGGATCTTCTCCCTCCTTCTAAGGGGAAGAAGAGCACTAGCATTTCTGTCCCTTGTCAGTCTCCAGGCTGAAGAGAAACTGCAGCATGCACAGCCTGTGCTGGCAGAAGGGAAAAGCCATCCCCTTTTGGTGTCCTCTGAAAAATGTCAGCTCTTACCTTCTCCATGATCCTGTCAATCTGGCGATTCTGTGTGTCGATCTCGTTGCCCATGTCCAGGGCCATGTGACGTAAGTTGCCAATGATGCCGCTGACCTGCTCCAGGTTCTCATCCATTTCGTTTTCCCGGGCATCATTTGTTACCCTGGGAGCAAAAAACCAGTTCTTTGAAGCAGAGACAGAGGAGGTTCCCCCTGAAACACTGACTCACCCGCAACCTCCCCTGCATCCTCCTTCGCTTGTCACCTGAGGAGCACGCTGCTTTGCTCAGCTTTGAAGAAAAGGGATTAATAAGTAGCTAGCCTGAAAAACATTATTACATGCTTATTTTGTGGATGTTTGGCTTAACTGTCTGGGTTCATCACTGCTCTATTTATTCTGCTGGCTTCTGGAAGTGTTGTGGTCTGAACTTGTGCACATACTGCACCTCTCTGCTAGTGATGGTCCTTCTCAAACAGAGAGTGAAAGGGTGCTCCATTTGGACCTGTGTGTGGTTAGAGTATGTGGGAAATGCTGGAGGGTGGTGGGATTGAAGCTACACCAGCTCCCCTCCTTGAACTACACGTAGCTAATGGGCACTGTCCAGTCCTCATACACTTGGGGCTCGCTGAAATACTGGGGAAGAGCTGCTTCAGCTGGGAAAATCCTGACCTAAAATTCTGTTTAATTAAATGTATTTCTGGTAAATGACTAAAGCAGCTTCTCTCAGGTTCACCGGATTCAGTAAAGATCCTTTTTCTCTCATTCTTAGCACCGTCTTCTTCAGTTGCTTGCTTTTTAGAAGAATAAACTTGTTCTTGAGCTGAGGCCCAGTTCAACTCTCCAGTGACTGGAGAGGCATGTGCTGACTCACACTGGTAAAAGCAACGTCCATGGGTCCCACTCAGAAAATCACTACTTTAAGCCTCTTGCGCAATTTGTGTTCGTGTAGGTGGCAGAAGGGCATTACAGGCTATTTGCAGAACAATTATGGCGTAGCATAACTTCCTTCACTGCTATTCTGTCATCATGCCCCAGCCTTCATTTTAGTGGGTCTGCCATCCAGAAATTTTAAAAAAAAGTGAATGGCAGACCCAGCAAACTTAAATGGCAACTCCATCCCACGCTCCAGATTGCATGACAGCATTGTTTCTATCACACTGATTTCCCTTTATTGCAGCAGCCAAAAAATAAGTGGATAATAGTTTTTGGAAAGATAATTACTTATTAATCCAGTGTCCTTAATCTTCAGAGATCAAAGCTTTGCCTACTGGTATGCCTTTATCCATTCAGCTGATAGCATTGTCATCTAAATACAGGCTCTATAAGCACTGTAATCAGTATGTACTTACTGCTGGATCCCTGTGTATCGCTCAAGGTTTGCATTTTGGTTGCCATTAGCATAGCTGTGTGTTTCAAACTGTCTTTCATTTGAGCACACAGGGGTTGCCACTAAAGCATTGATGTTTCTCCACCGCTGTGGCTTTACAGCAGCTGAGGAACGGGGCATCGTTCCCCCTTCAGGGAGGTTTTCTGCATAGTCACAAGCAGGGAAGTGGTGTACCTCTAGCTCAAAGTGTGCTTCAAGTTCTGCGCCAGGCTCGGTGCTTTGTGGGTGAGCCTGAGGCTTTTTTCTTTTTGAAAAGAAAAAAAGGGGTGCTGGATGCTTTGGTACATCTTCTGGCAAGGATGGATAGCAAGCACTACATATCTTGAGACGTAATAATAATAAACCAGTATTTGTCTGTCACTTGGTTTCTGAGGCATTTGACAACTGTCATTAATGAGACCCATAATAAGGCCCCCAAGGAAAAGCGCATTGTTCACACCGGGGAGCTGGAGTGCAGTGGGCAGTGCTGACTGGCTGTGAGAGTCTGCAACCTCACATTGCTGCTCTGTTTTATCACTGCCCACATCTGGGCAGTCTCAAGGAGGAAGTTTTAGGGCCACATTTTCAAGCATCTTCTGGTTCTCAGGGCTGAGACCCTTAATTCCCAGATTTCCGGTGGCAACGTAACCATCCTTTGCACTAGCTCAGGCAGGCACCCGTAGGGCCAGGGGAAGTCAGTGGATGCAGTAAGCCTTTAGCACCTGTCTTAGTCACCGTCAGCCTAAATCTGAGCACCCGTCGCTCGGTGGCAAACACGGGCTCCATCGCATTACCGAGCACCACTGAAGGAGTTAATGAGCATCACGGAACTCATGACCATATGGAAGAAATCTAAATATATCAGTGACAAGGAGAATAGAGAGAAAAGAGTGGATAAAAAGGCTCACCTGCGGATAAAGCCACCGCTGATGGCCATCTGCTCCCGTTCATCTACGACACGTGCAGGCTGGCTGGCTACAACACCATCCTGATTATTGCCCCAGGCTTTTTTGTAAGCATCACTTGATTTAAGCCTGTGCAAAAAAGATGATGAGTAACAAAGCATCGAGTGGACAAGGACAAACGCAAAACTCTTTACTTCTCCAAGCTAAAAGCTGAATCAAGCAAATGAGTTTTCAGATAGAGGGTCATTGATTGTATACCGATATATCATAACCCTGAATAAAAGGAGGGAGTTTAGGGATGTTTTTGTTTGGTTTTCTTTTTACTGCCACAACAACTGTGATGGTCAGAGGATTTGTTTCCAATAGGGTGAATTGCAACTGTCAAGTCTACAACACTGCACACAGGTTTTTAGATGTTGACTTAGTTTCCAGAAAGAAGGAGAGGAAGAAAAAAAAAAAAGGAGAAAGAAAGAAGAAGAGAAGAAATACAGATAAGTAGAAAACATTGTTTCATTTCAGCGACACATATGTTTTGACATCAAACACAGAGAACGTACTGGCAGACAGACATAAAAACAGAACTGCCAAGTATAGTGTGTACATCACATCACAGCAACACACCCTCCTAGAGAAAAAACAGATTTGGCTAGATTTTAACATTTTACCATGCAGAAGATTGGGCTTCTGTTGATACATTTTAACATGTATGTGGCATTATAGGCATTTAAAGCCACTAACCTTTCCCAAGGTGATTTGGGGATGATTTTATCACAAAATTCATAGGGTTTGTTAGATCTTTCAAATAATATATCGGTACTTGAAAAAAGTAATCATACATCGACAGTTGATGTACAAACCTTTGTCCACAGAGACAAAAAGTAAAATAGGCAGAAGTGAAATGAGTGCAGGAGAATAGAAAAGATACGAGCAATCTAGCATCAGAAAGGGAAATTGTTCTACATTTTTCTTCATGCACCAGCTACAGGCATGAATAAGAAGTGAAGCATTCTCACTAAGCACAGTTGCCCCAGTAGTTCATCATACTCTTAATGCATCAGCAGTAACAGCCTTCACAATAAGCAAGACACAGGCAAAAATGGATCATCACTTCCTTCAGGAGCTTAAAACCACAGTAAAGTAGCCTAGCAAGTTGTTGTATCTGTTGTTTATGGCAGTTACATTAGCTTTCAGAGAGCCATTTTTGACTGAGCTGCCATGGATAGAAAATTAAAACCCAGGCATACCTTCAGTGGCAGATTAGCATGTGCAGCATATTTAGGGTTGCTGTCAGTGGGGCCGTCAGGTGAGATTGCAGTGCTTTAGCAGGAGAGTGTGTTTGGGATATGTAGGTATAAGTTCGTGATTTCATTCCAGGCATGGAGCAGTTTCCGGCAAATCTGTTGGGCACTGCAAATCTCCAGGGTTCCCCTGTTCTTTGGTCAGCTCCAATCAGTCACAGAAACAGCCCTGTGGCTTGGATTTTGGGGAAGAAATTGAACGTGCTTCTGGGGGATTTGGGAAAGGACATGGCAAACCCATCTACCCATCTCTGGTGTTACATTCTCCCCATGCCGCCTGCAGCAGCTCAGCTTCAGCTATTGAGCCTAAAGATTGGTTGCATGCTCCAGTATAAAATGTAGATGAAATGAGGATCTTTCCTACTCATCTGTTATGTTGCTTATTTCCCATTAAAGTTTGTGAAGACTTAAGAAGATGCTGGTTGGCTTGTTTGTTCTCAGTTCTCCAAAACTATACATCAGCTTTGGCATTTCTTGAAATGGGTGAAAGTAGTTCTTTTGCTACACATACAATTACGGGGCTTTTGCCTGTTCTTTAGACCTGTGCAACTTTGAGAATGAGACAGTCTCTGAGGCAGAGAATTTCATACACCCAGAACTTGATTTCTATTTTCTTGTGGACTTCCCATGAAAGTCCACAGGTGGAGTCTGGGTCTGCTCATGCTCAACAGCTGTTGTCCTTTTGAATGCAGCCTGGTCAAAGCTTCATGCCATAGGCATTTAGGGTCTCCTAAGAATGTAGGATCAACGTAGCCTTACATTTTGGTAAGGCTCACAGAGTTGCATTTAGTCTGTATATCAATATAGTTACGTGTGAAACGGTTAATCCTTTAAAAATATATGTCATTAATCTACCACCAGCCGGAAGAGCATTAGGGGATCATTGTGATACCAATGCCCAAAACTGTATGGATTTCTCTCCCTCCTACGCTTCACTTCTCAGAATATCGTCAAATTCATACCAGCTGAGTCCTGGTGTAGTGATTCAAGGAACTGACTCTAAAAGGGTGGTTATTCATACTCTGTTTCTGAACACATTGTCTGATTAGCACTGCTAGTTTATGAAATCTGGCTGTAGACTTCAAAGGTCAGAATACTGCCTTACAGCAGGGAAGAAACACCTTCAAAAAGGAATACACAAACCCCCATCAAATGCATGCAGTATCTTTCTGTTCTTGCACCTATTGATTTCATGATACTGCAATCACGGTGAAGTGGTAAATGGTTTAAGGCCACCTACCAGGTGCTAACCCCATCCATGCCACAGGTCTGGCTGTCAGTTCTGAGCAGCCTTTCCTAGAGTACAGAATATTAAAGCTGCTCTAAAAAAATGACGGTTCCTGCAAAATACATTGGAATTTTTTTGTACTTCAGGGGTGAACTTTTGATATAGGTGTTATGCCAGGTTTCTCCAGGAGGAGCAAGTGTTCCTCTTTAAGATGTAACAGCTTTTAGAGTGTGGGAGATGTAAATTTTCTGCTGCATACTCTTGTGCCCGCAGCTGTTCTGTACTGGGTGCAGGACAGCAAGGTTAAAAGCTGTCTCAGAGCTGGCACAATTGCAGGCAGTCCCCCTGACAAAGGCTCTGAGTGTGTGAAGCTCTTTCCATTCCTCCTTGCCTCTCTCCCATTGTCCACACCAAGGCACACATAATATTCAGGGCAAGATGTTTACCCCAGCAAAGTATTCGTGTCTTGGTACACAGGAGAAAAAAGTGATACTGTGAAAGCTGAGATGGTATCTGCATTGTGTCCCAAGGGAATTAACTTCAAAATAAATGGTGACTGTTAAGGCAGAAACCTAGTCCTATCATTTCTTTTTGAGAAAATACCCACTGAATTCCATGACAGCTCTCTTTCTTTTGCTCTTGATGATTATGGCAGGATCAGGCCCTGGCTGTGAACAAAGTGTCTGCGCCATGCAGAAGGGGACTATAATACTACGGAACCACTGCACTCTGCCTTGTTTCCTGCACAACCTCTGGCCGGCCATTTCTGAATGTTTTCACTGTGCCCTGGTTGCATGCCTACTCACTGCATGCTGGATTTGCCATTCCTCAAGGACTTCTGGTTGGTCCACTTTATCCCTGATTTCCTACACCCACATAACCGCACATCACATTTTCATTTGGCATTTAAAACAAGCTTTGCACTACTTGGAGGGCGGTTTCGTTCCAGTGTGATGGCATGCAAGCAAATTCGATGCATTTCAACATTTCTGCTTAGTGTACGTGCTACCCAAACGGAGAAATTTGGTGTGTTCAGGTTTTCTGAAATTTGATGCCTACGGCAGGATGAAAACCGTTTCAGGTTAGGTTCCAATTGTGAAATGTCATGCCTCTTTCAAGATCTCATCAAGGACTATTTCTGTTGAGCAATGAAAAAAAGGTGTGATTTTCATCCATAATTTTGAGCGATGTTTATTATGACCTCTTCTGCATTTTTTCAGTTTTGTTTTGTTTATTAAACTTATTTGTGAAAATACGTTTCAAAATTTAGGGTCTCCAGGAATAAGGTAGCCCCAGCGTTTTTGGTCTCAGGAAAATGGAACCACTCAGTACACTTTGTGTAAAATGTTGAAACTTTTACCATTAAAAGGTGTTGACAGTGAAGCTTTCACTGCAGTATGCCTGATTTTAATGCATCTACAGTAATTCCCAGTCAGTTGTCTATGCTATGAGATGAATGCATTTGAACCAGAATCGTTCTTTCTGCATGCCACATGCTCATCCTGTCCATGTGCCTAGCAAGGATGAGCTTCACAAGGCCTTTGGGATCAGCCTTAAGTGCTCAAAGAGATGAGGCAGGCACCACCTACTTGTTACATGGACAGACACAAAGACCACAGAATTTTCCTAGGTCCGTCAAATTCTTTTCTGCTTCTTTCATGTCCTTATTGATTTGGTCCATTCCCTCTTCGATGCGTTCCAGTTGTTCTGATTAAACACAAGTATTTTATCCCCACAGAATGAAGCAGATGGAAAAGGACAAAGAAAAAAAAGACAAAAACTTCAGACATTCACTGTGACAAAAAACTGGACACCACATAGCAGAGCCGGTACCCAGTACCTACTTGTTACAAGGACATATGAAAAGGCCACAGCATTTCCCTAAATCTTTTAAATTTTTCTCGGCCTCCTTCATGTCTTGGTTGATATGGTTCATGCCTTCTTCAACACGATCGAGTTGTTCTGGTCAGGACAAAGGGATGACAGTGTGGAATGAATTGTATTTTTGTTTGTTTGCTTTTGTCTTCAACAGAACATGAAAAATGACCTTGTGGAACTGAATTAATAATGACATTACAATGCATTAATCTGAGCTGATGCATTGTTGAAAGGATGTGTGCCGCACTGGATGCTGAAGATGGTTTTTACTAATATGGGAAGAGTAAAACAAAGGAGGAAGAAATATATTAATTTAAACAAGATGTAATGATGGAGAAAGGAAGGGTTATAAAGTTCAAGGTCCAGAAACATCATACAATACATCCACTTACTAAGACACCAATGACATCCAAGAGAAAGAAAGATAGTGTTATTACTTTGCATTTATGTATGTTAATACAAGAGAAAAGGTGTCCTTCCATGGAAATTACTTCCATTACTTACACTTACAAATGCCTTGGAATCAGGTGACTTTAAGCAGCGTAATTGCTCTGATTAGTGAGTGAGAAAGCAGGTATTAATAGTACCAGAGAGGGAGCGAGCTGTTCAGAGCTGTGTCCAAGTACTCCTTTTTCCAGAGGCTGAGGAAACTGAGACCTGCCACTTTGATTGGCATTGGATAGTAATCTCTAATCTGAGTATGGCCTCAGGACTGGTTTTCTTCCAGGTATGGATACTGCAAATTAGGATTAAATCCAGTGAACACAGAGCAGTTGCAACCACTCCAGGAGCCTGATGCTCACTGCAAGAGGACCACTGGCTGTGATGTTGGTTGTCTCTAACCCCAAGGGACTTTATGAAGACAGTCATTGGGTGAAGACTCATGTTATCAGGGGGGTCACTTCTGCTTTGCTCTAGGACAGGTCACAAAGCACCAAGCCCAGTAACCAGCCATATATAGACACTGCCTATCCACTGGTAACAAACAGAATTTGGCTTATTTTCACCTAAGGCTGACAATGATTTAGGGTTTTCTTAGTGACTTGGTAGCTCAGAATATTTTAATATGTTCATTTCATCACCATTAAAGCTGGGAAAACGGCCTAGAGGAACAGAATGCCACAACATAAAATTGTAGGATCGGATCCTCTGCTGATGTATGGATCCAGTGGGATCAGGGGTCTTTTGTGGAGTCTGCAGTAGAGACAGCATCTTACATGGGTAGAAAGCCTCACCATTGGTTTCATGAAGGATAAACCCAAATAAGTACTATATGGGATGAGAAAGTTACTTGGAGTGGTATTTGAATCCATTAAAAATTGTAACTGTACCTAAAGAGGCAAAGTAAAGCAATCCAGGTAAAACACAAATGCATCCCTATTCCCCGTACTGAATAGAAAAATATATAAACACAGAATTAGACCTGAAGAAAAAGGAACTAAGAGAGCACTGGTTGTAAGACAAATTTAATGTCATCACTGTTGTTAACTGAGTCCTATCCAGGTAAAAAAAAAAAAAGGCATTCTAGAAAAAAACCTATGTGTGTATTGATGTCAGTACAATACTCCTCTTGACTTCTTTGGGAACATGAATAGCCGTAATTTCTTACTTGGGTTTCTAATAACAATTGAGGTTTAGATTTTCAAAGCTTTCTGGGGGATTTGGATACCCAATTCCCATTAAAATTAATTTTATTTAATTAAATTTAATGGGAAACGGGCTTCTCGCCCCTAGAGGGCCTTGAAAACCCTGGCCTAAATTATTCAAGCTGAAATAATGTGAATATTGAACTTGTGCTCTTTGTTTCATTCCCGCATGAGGCTGGGCTTTGAGAAGGAGAGGTGCCATGTCAGTATTGTGAGCCGCCTCTGCTTTTCAGCTGTCAGTTCTCCTCCACAGCTGGCTGTGCCTCTCTACTGATACCAGAGGAGCTATTGATCCAGAATCGAAGGATGCATTTAGAGGATCAGAGCTACCTGGCACTGTCCCCTAAAAGGGATGGGAACAAAGGATCGGGAAACTAATAAGGGAACCTGAGAGATACACTGCTCAAGTTCTGCCAGATAAACGGCTAAGTCAAGAGCCAGAAATACAAAGTTGGATTGTTTTAATGCACATCGTAATTTTACATTTTGGTAGGGAGGCCTTAGAGAAGCTTCGGTTCACGTTTGTAGCCACAGATTGTCAGTCTCATCAGAAACGTGAGTATGTGGTGCAAGGTGATACTCCTCTGAGTGCTCCTGCTCGTCACTACCTCAGTCCTGCGTAGTTGAGCAACACTTGCTCTTGCTCCGGGAAGCAGCTGTGGGAGTGTGAGCTGGCTTTTATGCTGGTTCACACAGCATGATGGGAACTGCTAAATTTCTGTCGCAGATTCCCGCCTCCTGCTTGGTTTTGCAGAGCCCAGCTGATTTTCAGGGATCTCAGTTAGAAGGCGGCTATTTCCACATGTGTATTTTGATACTGGGAGGGACAAGAGGTAGTGGCCTTTCTTCCACTGATTTTGCTGCTACTATTTCTCTAGCCTTGGATGACCAGTGGAAAATGCCAGGTAAGACGGCAGGGATCAGTCCTAGATCTGGTACCACTGGTGGCTTTCAGTCTAAGCTTATTTCCTTGCTCAGATGCACATTCTCTGAAGCCAGGTATGTAGTAGGGCCTTTTGAACTTTCTTTCCCTGTTTCCTGTTTTGCTTGAATAGATGAGTGCTAATGGAAGAGTTTATTTGACATGACTCAAAGACTTTCATTTAAATTAGAGCTCTCTCCAGGAACCTGACTTAATTTATCCTGCTTCATGATTTCTGTGTGATGCCTATGCTCTTTCTGAATAGGAAAGGGACCACAACTAATTTATCTTCTATTAAAGGAAACCTCATCAGTGTAAAAAGCCCATGTCATATTTGTAGCCCAGAAGTCTAGACAGCTGGCTGCTGGTCCTAAAACCATTTGCTAGTTGTTAATGCTGTGGGCTGGATTGTTAACTGGTTTAAAGCGGCGTAGTTATGCCGGCTTCATGGAACAACACCAATTTATACCTGTCAACGATCTGGTCCCACAGGCAAGGCAATAGACTCATGAGTCTAACCACAATTATTGAGGCATAAATATTATAGAAGAATTAAGTTAATGGGGTCACTCTGGATTTGTTTCTGTATAACTGATGTTAAAATCTGGCTCAGAATGAATCGTTGCCAGTAAGAAATAGGATGGCTATCAAAAGGTTAATTTAACGTCTGTTTTTATAGATCTTCCCTATTCCAGCTTTGCATATTGTATTAAAGGTTTTAGGGAAGACAGTCTGGTAGCACATACTGCAATTTGTTGCAGTATTCTTTGAACACACTACATCTATAGATGCTTATATATCATATATGCTATATAAGAGCATTGGCATTGTCTGGAAGCATATTGGAGGTAGGTTTAACTGACATTTCCTTTTCTTTTTTTTTTTTTTTTCTCAAAAGCTCTGCTAATTATCAGCCCATTTTGCATATTGGTACCCTTTTATGTCTGAGAACATCACTTTGATTCAAACATAGTGGCCATAGATCTTCTTCCAGATCTTACGGCAAACTAATGGCATATCTTAGCACTTGAACAAGGATATTTTTACCTGTATCATTATACCTATGTATTACTTCTGTATTAAACCCATAGGCAACTGAGGGACCATAAGCTAGTCCTATTAGTTTGACCATAGTATTGTGGTCCTTCGCCAGGACCTTCTAGAACAGCCTGGCAAATCCCCGCTCTATGACTGACCTGGGCAAGTGGCTGGGAGAGGGAAGCTGTAGCAAGGGCATCCCTCAGCTGCTCCTGTGGTCTCTTGACAAAATACAGCTGCAAAAGCATCTTAACATAGCGTTCGATGCAGGACCAGGACAGGGCAAGTGTGGTGTTGCTCCACCTTTGCACCCCCATCTGTAATTTATAACAAATGTTCCTTGACTAGTGCCCAGGATCTGGCGTCTGTGCTTGAATGTCAGTTAAATGCCTGTGGAGAAGGGAACTTGCTGTTTTGCCTGGAGTATTGTACGATGAAGCAATTTCCACCAAGGACAATTTTAATTAGAGAGAGGGAAAAAAAAAAGACATCTAAGAACACATTGTAGTCATAATTGCATACAAGAGGGCTGAATTTGAAAGCGAGTCAGCAGATTAACTATTTCCAATGATAGGCAATGATCCCATTTTCCATAAAGGGCAAGCGTATCAGAGTGCGGTACATTTCTAGGACAGCCTTTTCAGAAATCCTGCCTCTCGCCCTAGCTCCGCTCCAAAAGGCATTGCTGAGCACGGGTATGCCTGGAAGCGAGCTGGCATGGAGTGCCTGTGAGCCCACGTGTAGCTGTGGTAAGAACAACAGTAGGCAAGGCACAACCTGCTTTTGCGGGGGGTTCGTTAGTCTTGTGCTCTGCACTACACTTCCAGTATAATTAGTACCATTTTCCTTGTAGAATGTGGAATAGTTGATAGTTACCAGTTTTTTCGCTAATTAGCAAACCATTTCTGACTGTGATCAGCTCAGCTTATAGGTGTTGTTGGAGCGCCTCTAGCACCTCTGCTTTTGGCATCTCACTGCCTATCACTTTTTGGGGTAGCTGTTGAATAGGAGATAAGCTGGGGAAGGAGCCTGTGCAAGGGGCCATAATTTTGCCCTCTGATGGAGAGGAATGGTAATTATCTTTGTATTACTGCAGTTGTTTCTCCAGTGCCATAGAAGCAGCTCAGCCACAACTCACACAAAACTGTAAAACTCACAGCTGTGGAGGTCAGCTGGCACGGGTACCATCGCACGGTGCCAACGCTTTTGCTTGTGGGGTTGCGCAGCCATTCCAAAGTTTTATCTCTGCACTTCAAATAGATCTGGAGTACAGGTCTGCTGGGTCGATGAAGCTGCTCCCTGCACTCACTGGTGTTGATGGTTGTGCATTTGCTGTTGCTGTGGTGCAGGGAGAAATTTTTGTTTGCATTGACATTTTCTTTCTGGCTTATCAAAGTTGTGGCTATTCCTCTTTCTTTCCTTGGATGGAAAATGGCTGTGCTGCTACTGTTGTTGTTGGAAAAGTTTCTCCCCTCCACCCTGCTTTGAATACAAGATGGTTTTTATATAAACTGTGTGAGGACATCATCACACAAAAAAGAGTCCTTGATGGTCCAAATCTGTCTGGCTGCTGATACTCCCAGGTGATGGGAATTTCCTTTGGGGGAAGAGACACTCTGATTGAAAGTGTACTCTGATACCCCTCCTGTGTCAGCAATTCAGGTTTATCTTCATATCCCCTCTTCGTACACTCAGTTTCATTTCTATGGTTTGCTTTTAACCAATAAGCATCCAAATATGTATAATTTTCTAAGTTAGTATGTTTTAAATTCATATTTAATGGAGCAGGGCAATTGCCACTGCTCAATAATCCTTTGCAGCACGGCACTTCTAGTGTAAAATGTAAATATTTTAAAGCATTATGTACATATTTATTTTTAAAGTATTAATTAAGGGAGCTTGACTCAAGGCCAGGTTTAAAAAAAATGTATGCATTATGGCTGCACATAAGGTCTGGGAAAGACTTTCTCACTCATGACAAAAATCTGAGCACGGGGAATCTAACCTCTTAGCTCTTTCCTGTGGGCTCCCCAGGGCAAGAACTGTGTGGAACTGGTTCGGGTGACAATACCTGGCTCAAAAAAAATGGTAACTCTTGGTATTGCAGAGGGGCTACTCCAAAAGCCCGCTCAGATTTCCAGTGACTTCAGAGGGCACTGGAGGAGGTGTCTAGTGGCGGTCTCTTATGGCAGTCCCATTCTCTGTGAAACAGGAGTAATGAAAGCTCTTGTGAAGCTCCACATCTCTGTAGGGCCACAACAGACTCTGTGGTCTGCTGCGCAGCCAGCTGTGATAAACATTTAGGCCACAGGAGCTAGCCAGTACAATTGTACAAATACCCAGTATTGTAAAATTACGTTGACTTATTTCCTTTTATGATCCCAAAGGCTTCTGCTTATTGATTTCAGAAAATTAGTTCTGCTTTGTGTTATTTAGGTTGAGATTGGCTCAAAGAAGTTTTCTTTGTAAGGTCTGTTTAACTTCAAAGCAAGCAATTTGGGAAGGAAACCTAGAAATAGAGCTTCAAGCGACTGTAGAGATTAGATATTCTGCTTGCCGCCCACTGGAAAGATCAATGTCATGGTTTTTGTATATTTAACACCTAATAATCTTAAGTGACTTGTGCAGTCAGCTGAAAAGAGATCACATGGCAGTGTTAGCAAATTATTTCCTTAATCTGATAATCTGCTGAGACATCCATGAGTTGCACACATTGCACTAATTACAGAGGGTTCAAAGTCATCATTAGCGTATTTTACCCATTAATATGAGAAGTCCTTTACCACTAAAATAATAATTTAAAAAAATCGGGAATTATTACAGCTAAATATAGCTAAAATGAACAAAACTAAATGAAACATTTAACATAGTACAGCGGTTACAATATTCCCAGGGTTTTTAGCATTGTCAGGCTGTTTTCCTTGAGAAACCCATACTGTATAGTCACAAGCTAAATCTACTGAACCAGTTAAGGCATGACCATAACCAATTTAAAGAGGCTTTTAAATTGTCTGACTCTTTCCTGTAAGTGTCGACTAACTGCATCTCTGGCCATATACACATATATAATATGTGTATAATGCACATTTCAGGTTTCTCTGTCAATAAGAGGTTAATACTGAGTTCTCTGGACTCCAGAGGTCAGTGGGTCCAGTCTCAGCTCCTTGGCTCACAAAGACCGTCCTTCCGAGCATGACTGGAGAGTCCGTCGGACAACTTTTGCATATAGAGGTTGACCAATAGTAGAAATCCAAAGTAAAAACCAAAATCCAGGGTTAAAATAAAAATAAAAGCCCCTAGCAAGCTGTGGAAAAATAATCGTTAAAGAACAGAAACACATTTTCCCAAAACTAAACACAAGGGAAGTTACAGGAACCAGTAAAGTTTCTGCTGCTCTGCCTGTGACTTACATTGCAAGAGACAGCTGGGTATTTATGGACTTTCTTTGACAATATTTGTGATTTATTTTAACTGTATAATTCACTTCTGATACAAACCACATTATTTAGACAGGTGCCGTATCTGTTCTGACATAAGTAATTTCTGGTTTTCTGTATTCAGTGATAGTTCTTTTACTGCCATTACTCAGAAAAAAAAAAACCAACTTCCCAAGACAACAAAATATTCTCTATAATGTTTTTCATGTCAAGACAAATTGATGCGACAAAATTTGGTTGGGTTAAATTCTTTTCCCTAAAGGGGTAAGTTGGAGGGAGGGGAAGCAATGAAGCACGCATAAGAAAGCAAATAGGAGAAAATACTTTCTGTTTAGGTCCTGTTACTTTTCTTTCATTTTAATACCAGAGAGGCAGGGAGATTACAGTCGAAAAGGGCCTGTCAGGTTCTGCAGTCCGTTTCCCAGCAATGCCATACCATTGCTTACAGTCGTCGTCTGGGCTTGATGAGCCAGACAACATTACCTCTGTAGGAAATGTTTCCTAACACAGTTTTGTATCACGCCACAGAGTAAAGAATAACAAGGGCTTTTGAGGGGCTGGTTTGAGAGAGTAGCAGAAATTTATGCTCTGTAGTAACTTTTCTTTGGAGACACCGTTTTGCTGGTGCTGCGGGTCTGCAGCAAATGAAGACTTACTACTTTTGTTGGAGAGGGAGAAAGCTACCTACTACTTTGTAATGTTATGAAGAGCAAAAATGTAATTTCCTGGGATGTACTGAATATATCTATCTCTGTCACTGTCATTCACAGCGACTCATCTAAGCTTGAAAGCTCCTATATGGTCAATTGTAACAAGCTGATGGTGTCAGAGATTTTAATGTTAAATTAGTTATCCTCACTGACATTTCTATATGAAAAGTAACTGAATTTTACACAAACTAAAGCTGGTTTACCCACTCCTGGCATATGTTTATTGCATATATTTCACTTGTGGCTAAAACAAGTGAGAAAACTGAATAGCACCTGTGTAAATAAAGTTGAATTTTACGTTTATGGAGGCAAGTCTTCTCATCATGTAGCTGGATCTTGACCCACAGCTTGATGAAAAAGATGATGATTTGGATGAATTCACCCTGCAGCTCTCTCTGACATTAATGGGAAACAGATCAAAAGAAGTACAGGCTCTTAATGCAGTTATTGTATGTTCCTCTGTCAAGCAAAGCTAAAGGCAAAAAGGTTTTGGGGTTCTTATGCACAACCACAGATATTTTATGGTCCTCAATTTCAGGAGTGCACACAGTTAATACAGTACTTTTTGAGAATGGTTATACCTCCTTACTGAAGCAATCTGAACTTACCTCCTTGCTCATCCAACATAACCAAAGTCCTGATACCAGCATCTTTACTCTACATCCCAATAGTGGTAGCAAGGTAAGGAGAGGGATGGGGGAAGAAGAAAGAGAAAGAGAAAGAGAGATCAGTGAGGGAGCACTCAGCCCTGGGCACGGGGCACAGGAAGACAAAAGAAAAACAGTGAAAGGAATGACAAGGTCATAAGGGTCTGGTGTGCCTTGTGTGCCTGGACACTCTATAAGGAACTGAGTACTCTCGATTGTACCATCAATCCTTCAGGATTCATTGGGATACTGAACTACTGCAGAAAACACAGAGCCCTGGACCTTGAAATTAAAATAATCGCTTTACACGAGAGTAATTTCTAAAAAGAGAGTGTTCATCTCCAAGTTCTCTGAAGTGGGAGAAGGGAAAAAGGGGGTGTTGACATTGCAGGTCTATGTTCATCCCACAGGAGAAATTCCCAAGGAAAACAGGTATGACACAAACATATTTTGGAATAAGGCATAGTGGTTTGTACACAGCCCTTGCAACACAGAAGTCAAAAAGCTTACCTACTTAGGAAATCCATTTTAAAGCAGGCTAATATTTAATAGGATTAAGCCATATTTTTTGGCTCGGAGATCTGATAGATATGGGTTTGAGCCAAGTTCAGCCAACAGGCATCTTTAGCATCAATGGACTTTGGGCTAAGCTTGAAGGTAGGATTTTTAAAATACCTACATGCAGAATCTGCTGCTGCTCCCACGATGCGTGGGAATCTTATCCTTGCCTTTGCAAGGATACAGGGCTTGAGCAAAGCCAAGGAAGTCAGAGCTCCCGCCTGCCTAAACCAGCAGCAGGGCACCTTTCACAAGTGCAGTTTTTGCATGCATTGTCATCACTCTGGGATGTGATCAGGTGTCTCGGGTTTCTGGGTGCCGTGATATTAAACTATATCACAGATCAGATTAGCTCCTTTTTAATTACAAAGGGGAAACTAGCTCCATTCTGCTTGAAGCAGTGATAACATCTGTGAATAATTAATGGCCTGAACGATCTCCTGACTTGCATTTCAGTAACAGATAAAGTGACTCCTCTGTGGCTTGACAGTGTGCCAGCAGAGCTACCTGGCCACATGCAGCAGTAATTTAGCTGCTTCTCTGAACATAAAGCCACCCGTACCCCTGTGAAGCAGATAAAGTTGGTGGTGTGGATTTTGCAAAGGGCAGGGGAGAAACCCACAGTTGCACAGGAACGTGAGGGATGGAAACTTGGAGTCCTGACCATCCCTCTTGCTTTTCAGGTCATCGTCTCCCTCCTTGAGGCAAATTAAGGACTTCATATTATCCTTCCTCCCAGCTGCCCTGCTCACTGCCATCGCTCATCTCTTTTTCTGGGAGCGGTGAAGTATCTCTGGCCGTCAGCTGCCCGGTCTGCTCTCGGGAGACGCTCCCGGGCAGGCCGACAGCACGCTGCCCACATTGGCTCGGCTACAAGCCTGACTCCGCCACACTCGAGGGCTGCTCGAGGGCTGTCTGGCTGGTGCAGCTGGTGCTCCTCTGCTTTGCTTCAAGAGGATCCTGCTCAGTCCAAGAGAGTTGTGAGATGCCTCTTGTTTCTCTCTTGTCTGCCTCTCTCTGCACTCCCATTCTTGTTTTCAATGTCTACATCACTGTAGAAACTGGGAAAAACATCAGATGTGTGCAGCCTGGTGCGCTCGATTTTAAAAATCCCTGCATGAGATGCCAGGTGGAGAGAAAAAGTTCCTGCCTCTCCCCCCGTGGTCTGCTGTACCCTGCTGCCCTTGGGTCAGCTACCTGCCGGGTACCCGCTGCTGATCTCTCTCCCTTCATGCTCATACTGCATTTACTTGAATCCCAGCCAGCTTTTAGTTTGCAACCTTTAGAAACTCAGGGTCCAAGGGTCATCTTTGACTTGCCTATTTAGAGTAAGGAAATTGCCTTTAGTTATCTTATGTTTTCTGTGGGGCAGGTGTCAGACCTGCTAAGCACTGGATGTGCAATAGCTTTTTACTATGCTCTTTCTCTACTCTTGGTACCCAGGGATGTCTTACCCAAAAGATTTATAGGCATTTAATAAAAACATACTTCATGCAAATACAAGCCTGCTTAGGTCCTGAGTCATCTTGTGCTGGAGTAAATATGGTGCAGTCTGATAGGGGATCCTTCTAAATATTGGACTCAGAAACCTGTAGTTGGTGGTGTGATAACTGTTGGCTTTTGGTGAGTCAAACATGGTCAGGCTGAGAAATATTTACTGCTTCTTAACCCTCTGACCTTATTTTCCTGCTGTTTTTAACATCTGAGCCAACTGCCTTTATGCAGCTAAAATGTCCTGTGACCTGAATAAGACCTATGCAGAGAGACAAACTGAGAAATTAGACCTTATGGTTTGTACTTCATGTTAAATCCTTGCACAGCGTGAAAGAGGTGCAATTTTCTTTTACTTACCTGACCATCAGTGCCATTTCATTTTATCAGGCAATACTGTATCTCTGAAGAGCAGCCTGCCACGGCATTAATACTAATGTGAAAATATTAAAGGGTGTGCATTGAATAAACTTGTCTGCATCTGAGGTCTAATCCAAAGCATATTGAAGCTAATAAAAAGATGCTCACTGACAGAGATGAGGGGTGATTCAGACATCAAGTGACAATCTCCTTCTGTTCCAAGCTTCTATTAAGCATTAATTTTCTTTTTTTTCACAAAAAATTAACTGTGTAAAGCCAATTAAAAAGAAAAATCACATTTGTGCCTTTAAAGGCGATTCAGACTCTCCTAAAAGTTCAGCATTTCTATTGTGACTGATCTTTTAGATAGCTCAAAACCAGGTTGCTTTGAGCAACCTGGTCTAGTGCAAGGTGTCCCTGCCCATGGCAGGGGGGTTGGAACTGGATGGTCTTTAAGGTCCCTTCCAACCCTAACCGTTCTATGATTCTATGAAAACCAAATATGTCTGTAAGACACAGCTATTCTAAAAAAAGTGGTCATCATCCAGGTGTTTGAGCAGGAGAGAAACGCTCAGTAACTGACCCTCAGTGACAACAGACTGAGGCAACTCTGGGAACTACAAAAACTCTTCATTTAAGAGCATATAAAACAGGAAATGGGCCACACAATGTGTTTGGTGCACAAACACAGACAACGTTGGTGTTTTCTGCACAGAGTATCACAGAAACTCCCCTTGGTCTGAGTGGGAGCAGGTGTCAGCAGAGGCACTTGAACTGGTTGCTTAGGGCGTGCGTAACAGGAGGCGACCAAAGCTGTGTTTGCGAAGTGACAGCCCAGAAGAACATGTTTTACAAAAATCAATCAGAAAACTGTGACAGCAGGCTCCCAGAAGGGCCATGGTCATGGCAGGGGCCCAGTGACCATGCTTTGACTTGTGTGGTCCTGAGGGCTCAGGAAGGGCTCCCACCCACACCCGGTGCTCACTGGCATCAGAGAGATCCTACGTGGGAAGCCAGGAACGGGCAGAACTCCTGAGGTCTGTCTTGTTACAAAAATGTGTGCCAATGGTACGCTTTCCCTAGGATTAGAGCCTTCCTTTCTTCCTGTGTGATGGAGGAATTTCTTAAGACCCTGCAGTCATCGCACACGCAATCCTCTGTTTAGTTTGTGGAAAAATAAGGGTTCTCAAAAAAATGGGATGCTTAGGGTAGTTCAGGCCAGAGAGAAGAAAAATTCATCTTTCAGAGGGCCCTAGAGGGTTCATGGAACACATGTCACGTTAATCCAGCTCTCAACTCTGTAACAGCCTTCTCTCTTTGGAGTTACTTCTGACGCTCCTTGTCTTCTCACTGTGCTTGAGAGGAGAATTTGGTCTGCTGGATTTCTCCGTGGTACAGCAGACTTCTCACACTCTTGTCCGTTAGAAGAAAACAGCACAGCATGAATTGCTCTTGTGGAGGCTTTAAACTGAAAGCACTGGAGGTCTTCTGTTTATCCATAGATCAGGAACACCGCGGGTGGTAAAACATATAACCTTTCCCACGCAGCCCTTGAACATACTCAGCTTCCTATGAAGAACATGCCTGGGTTTTCCACGGGACCATGGGCTAAGCTACTGGTCAGAAGGACAGAATGTATGATTTTAAAACTCTGGGCTTAATTCAGCTCATACATAGCTGTCAATGCTTCAGTGAATCCAGTGTAACGGCATAACTGGGAACGCTTTTGGAGGCTTTAATACACATTATCCTCAATCTTCTCTAACAGCTTTCTAAAACTCTTGTTTTATGAGGGTCTCACTCAGAGCAAGTCAGCAACAAAACACTCACTGAAATTTGCCCAGCACTTTGGAGGGGAAAGGCATTGCTGTATCTTTTCTTATTATTGCGGTTCTGTCACTTAATTTCCCAAGGTGGGAATAAACTGGGAAGAGAATTGGAATGACTTCTCAAAGGGCCCATCAGTCCCTCCAGGTACACAATGTGTTGCGTTTTATCATGCCTGCTACAAGAGGCACCTACTCCAACTTTAGAGTTGCCTGAGGGGTGATTTTCATAACAATATAAGGGAATGATGTATCAGAGAATCCAAATTCTAGAAATTACTTTCTCTGCATTTCAGGAGGTACCCTGAAAAACATATATAAACTCTCAGTTATGTGAGAAACACATGAACTTCCACTTCAATGAAGCATTTTTCTTTAATCAATATGGATTATAGAGTTTGTTTTGAATGAATTAATACAGACAATTATGTACCAGGGCAGGCTGGCATTGCTAGCAGTTCCCAGAGACAGTAAAAAGAAGTGTCAACACCCTAAAGACAAAAATGTTGTCAAAGAAACATTTTTTAGTCGTCCATAGTAATGCATTTCCTCAGCTCCTGCTCCAAGTTCACTGTCACCCTGTTAACTCTGTAATGTCTTTCCATGCAGGATTAAAGGGCCATGTTACTTCTCAGCCTGTTAATTCACCCTGTGCTTCAGATCCTCAGCCGATACAAATCTGTGATCCCCCACCTGAATCCTGTGTGCCTGGTTTTCATCGAGCACGATGACCCTGACGCCAGTGCTACCCTGCTGTTTATATAGACAAAGGGGTGTCTAATCCTCATAGGAAAAACCAAGCCCAGAATTATAAGTCACTTCCCCTGTGCCAGACATGTATTTCTGTGGAATTACACACGTTAGAACACCTTTCTGAGTAGAGCCATTCCAATAGCTAATGATGTCAAAGGGAATTGTCAAATTAGCTTTGACAAGCTTTAGACCAAGCTCTAAATTAATAGAACATTTTTTTCTTTTATTCTTCAGACTATTATCATTTGACTATGATAATAATGTCACAGGAAACTCACTTCCCAGTCACAAATTAAATAAGAAAAACGGCATACTATCTGTTCAGTATCCTTTGTGGAGCAGCAGCATGAAGTTACCAAATGTTTATAGCTTAACATTTCAGCTTTGATGTTAGTAAACTTGACTCCAACCCCTCAGCATATGAGAGGAAGCAATAGTCCTGTCTGGATTTACATGTACAAAGCAGACCTTTTGTCTGCACATGTCTTGCTGGGCTTTCTGCAGTACTGATCTTGTTGATATTTTTTCCCTTGCTACATCATAGCTAGAAAACATCTGTTTTTTCCCACCCTACGATGACTGATTTTCTTTAAAGGCCATGGTGGTTCCACTGAAAGATGATGGTAGACTCACGGCTTTTCCCCTTGCATGTTTTATTCTGCATTTCATAATGTTGGCTCAGAGGTGAAAAGCTTGAACAAAAAAATAAGGTCAGATGAAAACTGTATTTAATCTCACTTCTGCCTTGGTTCATTTTTAGTTTACATTTTGGCCCAAACATTGCACAACATCGTCATAAAATACAGGTAATTATAGCAGGGAGTAGCTGTATAGCTCAAATGAGCATGGGTCAGTGTCGATGTTACTGTGTTGCATGGGTATGTTGGGCACCACAGGGCAAACTGATCTTTGTAATCTGCCATCCCAGTACGTAACTCCCTTGGGGCAACACAGGGGTGACTCTACAGCAGCCACTCACCACTTCTTGCTTCCCCTGTTGTGCTAGACTGAAACAATCAGCTTCTTCCAACACTGGGTTATAAAAATAAAAAGCAGTAACAGATTTGGTTTTCCTTGCTGACATTTCCTGGGAACAGCACCAGGGATTAGTCTCCAAATTCAGTCTTCTTGGGCAAGGAGGGCATGGTCTTCTGGGGACATTGGTCTTGTCCTCCAGGCTATGACCTACATTTCAGCATTATGGATGTCTTGTATGGCTATAGGGCTGCCCTGGGTGGACAGAAATCTTCTGTCTCTAGAGTGGAGACAAGTCACTCTGTTTATTCTATATTTTCCAAGTTTCTAACAGGGCAGAGCCAACCATGATGGGAATTCATACGTATGTATACAGTAATGATGCTTAAACATGGAGGCATCCTTTTCCTGAGTAAGGAATAACAGATTTACTGTATCAAGACAATAGAGTAAAAAGCATTCTTTCACTGAGAAAGAATATTTTCTGTCTCTACCCACTAGACAGGTTCTGCAAAGCAAGGGGATCTAAATGAATTTTTTGGGTCTATTGAATCAGAGCAGTGCGAGTTCTCTTTCACAGACACTCACCATTTGTCTTTTCAGTATAAAATCTCTCCCTCCCTAAATGCTGCATTCTTTTAAAAGTACCTAGCAAATGGGCCTGGAGTAATCAACCAACTGTTTAGACCACAGACAAATTTTAAAGGTCTTTTGTAGTCACATTAATGAAAATAACATTCAGCTCATTGCAGAAGAATTCCCTTGAGTACTCAGTGCTGGTTTTAGGAACTTCTCTATTTGGACAGGAAGATACTGTAGTGTCTGAACAAAAGCCAGGTCCAGAGAGATGCTGAGCTCTTCCAAGAAGCGCTAGAGTCCTACATAAATTCATTGGTAAATTCAGCAGTCCCAGTTCTCCTCCCACTTTGCCATTTGCCATGATTTAATACTGAAATTCCAGTGGCATTCACAATATGCTGGTTCAATATGTTAGGGAGACTCAAGCATTGCATAGGTCACACAAATACAGCTCAGGAGAGACAGGACTGATATTTACTGGTGGCTTGGCCCTGAGCAAATCACTTCCCTTTCCTGTGCCTCTCTTTCTTCCCACTCATCATCTGCCTTGTCTATTTAGATCACAGGCATTTTGGGGCAGCAGGCTCTCCTGCCTTGCTCTTGGGGAGGTACACATGTAAGACTCTCTTCCATGTCGCTGAATTGATTTCAGCAATAGAGCTGACATAAAGTGATGGTTAGAAATGGCATGTCCAGGGAGTTGAGCAGCAAAAAGGGACAGATTGCTCGTGAGACGAGAGCGTGTTTCTGTTGTAAGGGGCCGAGATCTGAAGCATTCGTGGAGGAGAAGTGATGATGACTATGCTCAATGACCCATCTGTCTGTCTATCTGCACATGGAAATTTAATTTTGACTCCACTGGACTCCATATTGATTTCCATAGATGTGATTGATTTCAAGGCCATGAAGCCTAGGGCTAGGCTTGTGCTTGTTCCTGAACGTGGGACCTGATGTAATTTTCTTCCCATTGTCTCTGCTGGAGAATCCTCTGATTGTCAGGAGTACTGGGACTGTCAGTGCTGATGACCCGAATTAAAAATGTTGTCAGTTCTGGAGCCAAGACTGGCATAGCGTCTGAAAATAATATGTCCTGTCAAGACGGAGCAAAGTTTTCCACCACCTGAAGGATGAACACCTTAAACTGAACTGAGTTCAGGAATGTTTGACTTTTCATAGAATCATAGAATCACAGAATGGTTTGGGTTGGAAGGGGCCTTAAAGACCATCCAGTTCCGACCCCCCTGCCATGGGCAGGGACACCTTCCACTAGACCAGGTTGCTCAAAGCCTCATCCAGCCTGGCCTTGAACACTTCCAGGGATGGGGCATCCACAACATCTCTGGGCAACCTGTGCCAGTGCCTCACCACTCTCTCTGGGAAGAACTTCTTCCTGATATCCAATCTAAACCTCCCCACTTTCAATTTAAACCCGTTACCCCTTGTCCTGTCACTACAGGTCCTTGTAAAAAGTCCCCCCCAACTTCCTTGTAGGCCCCCTTAAGGCACTGGAAGGTGCTATAAGGTCTCCCCCTCTTTGTTACAAAGAGGGTGAAATGAAGCCTGGCTGGCTTGTTTTTTCCCTTCTGGGAGTGACTCCTCCAGGCAGGACTGAGCCTGGGTTTCCTTCCTCAGCAACATGGAAAACCAGAAAATTTCCTTCTCCAGAGCTGGCAATCTCATCATCTCATGAGCTTTGAAACCCTAATAAATGTTTCAGAGATTCATAAATAAGTGGAGTTTACATGCTGTGGTGACTGATGCTACATAAACAGGTGCAAGTGATGGTGAGGAGGGATGTATTCAGAGACGACAGGGCAAACAGACCAAGGGCCTTTCTCACAGTGTGATGGCAAGGACATCAGGGCGGTGCCAGCGTCACGAGGAGCTCTGCAGCAACCTCAGCCACTAGTCCCTGGTTCCGGGACACCTTCAGTGGCTGTTTCCTTGGTTCTTCTCGAGTAGCCTGTCTCAGGATACTTAGGTATGGGCAAAACAGTGCCTCAGCAGCTGGTCTGCAGCGTGACACTTGGCAATTGGGGCGCAGCGTCTGAAATGGCACTCCTAAGGGGGTAAGGATAAGGAGGGATGGAGTGGCACATAAAGCCATGGCCATGCCCTAGCAACGTGAGTTAACAAAAAACCACTTCCAGTGTCAGACTCTCCATCACTTTTGCTTACAACAGAAGTGCAAATAATATGCAAATCCTTACCTCTTCAACAAGCTGCAGCATTCGACGGGTGCTCTCAAGTGACTAAAAAAAAAACAGAGGAAAAAAACCCACTTAGATTTGGCAAAGAAGCAGTTTCCAGCGCTAATGTGTAGGCTCATGCTGGCAGTATGCTTTTCCTATGCTCCCTGCCTTCCCTCAGGATACTGGTGACCTCTTCCTCTTCAGCTCTCTGTGGTGGCTCGGTGATGCAGCAGTTCCCAGCGCATCGCGGGGCAGCTGCAGTCTCTTGCGCTCCCCTTGCGCACGCGTCGCGGCAGCAGCGCTTGGAACAGCTGGTGTTCCACTTTAAAAATAAAGGCCGCGGTTCTCGGCTGAGACTTTTCAGAGACCTAATGGGTGACTTTTAACGTTTAATAGGTTTGGCAAATTGAAGGAATCCTCAGAAAATATTAAATGGCTGCTGTTTGCTCTGAGGCCAGTCACATTGATGCAGACTCTAATACCTAAACCAAACTCACGATCGGTAAAGGCCTTAATCTAGACTAAACATGACATTAAATTTTACCCCGGCTCATTTCATTTCCTATTTCGCTTTCAGTGTAAAGCTGATGGAAAACAGAATCAGCTCTAGAAATCCTTTGCCGCATCAGCTCCTATTTCTGGATGTGTCCCTCACACCCAACCCCACCCCGAGTCTCCGGTTTAGGTATCGGTCTCACTTCATCAGCAAGCTGGTCAGCACGCCGCTGCATTTCTTCCAACTCATTGCGCATATCAGCGTCTTCCGCCATTTTAGCTGTGGGTGTGTTTGTGGACGCTGCCGGTCAAGGATTCGTGCTCAGCTGCTTGTGAGCCTGGAAGACAGCAAAAAGGGAAAGAAATTGTGGTTAGGTTCCCTGACTCACTGAACTGTGCTTAAATGTCAGTGCCACAAAAGTGCTTTTATTGCATGAGTGCCCTCACCCAACCTCCTTTGTTCTGGCTTGGAATTCCTATAAAGTAGAGAGCATACAAGATTTTTCAAGGTGGTGCTTTATTCCTGTATTATTAATCACTTTTGAAGGAGAAGGATGTATCCTTGTCACATTCTTTGAGGAAAAACCTTCCTTTTTTTCTTAACCTTTCACATGCTATCCATATCAAAGCTGGAGATTCAGGAGGTGTTATTTGCTACCAGAAATGAGTTTGAGACTGATTCATTCTTCTCTAAAATTAAAAATCTTAACATGAAGGAGGTCAAGGTCAAGTCTATGCCCCCCATGTCCTATATTTCAGCTGCATCGCTTGGAGGGCCAGACACTCAGCTAATACATCTGCACTGAAATTAAAGGCAGTGAAACTTTGCAGATTTTTATGAGCTAATGACTTATTCACCATTTCAGATTCTGAAATAATACAGGTAAATTGTGTGAATTGTGTCTACCTGGGAAAATCCTTCATTTCAGGGGAAGTGACTAAAGGACCTAACTGGTGTTTTCAACTGCTCCCCCAAGTGGGTCAGGTTCTGCTCTTGGTTATCCTTCTCGATACGGAACGACGCCACTGAGCTCATCCTAGCCAGAGACCAGGATGCAGCCCATTAATCCTCATTTGGGTAGGGTTTCTTTTTTGTTATAAATTCGAGCTATCTGTGATTACTGAGCATGACTTGATTAAGTAAGGCGGGTCCTCCTACCATCTGTCAGGTCTTTGTAACAACAACACTGGCTTATTTCTTTGCTTGATTCAAGCATGGCACATTGCAAATTACTGCTCACTGAATGTTAGATCTGTTCATTGCGGGAAAACCTAATCCCAGGTGCAGAGGAGGTGGGGAAGTTGTGGGGGACTGCAAATAAACAGCCATAAAGCACATGCCATCGTGCTGAATTACAGAAAGGGGACAAAAGCAGCCCCTTTCAGCAAAGCTGCTCTAAGAAGGCAAAATCCCAGGGGCTGTTTTCTGTTCTGTCTTTGCGATACGTGCAGCCTTTATGAAACAGGGTAAGTCAGGGCAGAGCTTGGCTCTAAAATTTTAACAATAATAACTCTGTTTAAATTGAAGTTGTTATCTCTTGGAGATGAATCTGTTCCTCGCTTTGACAGCGCTCACTGTCGGGATAAGAGGAGCTGAACAGGTACAGCTGACAGAGAGACTTGCTGGATCACACCCTGTTTGCTTAGAAACATGTAAGGAAAGCAGACAGCTCCTTGCATTTCCTCTGCAGCTTCGACAGCGGATTTGCTTTTTTTCTTATCTGCGAAGGAATTTGTGACCTTCATGCTTTCGCATTAGCTGTGCCCTTGCTCGTGGTTGCTTTTCCTCTTTGAAGCTACAGCAGGGAGAAAACCATCTCCAAGAGTCAGCCCCGCAGCTACTGGCACGGCATCTTATTTTCATCACTGAGCCCATCGCCGCATCCCTGTCAGAGGGAGACTGACATTTTGGGATGGGTCACACAATGTTTAGGAGCCCAAGTGTATGCTGGAGAAGCCCACCCGGTTCTTCCAGCTGCATGGCCACAGCGTTGCGAAGGACCAAGCTTAAGCAACTCATCTGCAGCCCAGGGTGATCCAAATGCGGAGCTTAATTTCACGGGGAATATTCAGAATGATATCAGGCACTTGAAGGATGCTCACAAAGGGCAGCACATAAGCTTTACAAAAAATGGGGCACTCTGAGGATTAGGAGGAAAAGATGAACCAGGAATTGCTCTCCTCCTGAAGGGCATGTGAAAGTGTAGAGACACTCTCAAGGCCACCCCAACCTTCCTGCCCTGCGGCTGCCCTCGCATCATCTTTTGTGGCACATCATGCACCTCCAGGAAGACACTGCTGATCAGCAAATGGACCATGCTTAGCTGGGATAAAAGAAGTTATTTCGGAAAATAACCACTCTCCAAACTCCTGTCCCACTTGGCACAGGCTGTTGCACTAGCACTGGTCACTACTTCACAAACTATGGTTTTCTCCAGATGGAGGCAAAACTCAGCATTTCAATATTTCCGGCACAGCCTTTGTGACAGAATACCAGGATTAAGTCTGTGGACCTAATTTTAGAATATTTAGCTAAAATATTCTGCACTTCCTTCATCCCCTCACTACACTTATTGCTGGCAGAATAACAGCACTGAGCTTTAGCAAAAATCAGGACAGTTTAGACATTACTTTGGGACTGATCTAATTGGTAGGTACATTGGGAGCATCTTACTAGCTGTAAAGTGGGAGGTGATGCATCAGGGAGAGGATGGGATGCTAACAGGGGATTTGGTTCAGTCTCTAAGCATATCCAAAGTGGGCTGAATGATTACAGACACGTAAGCGAGTGGAAGTGACATGAGTGCTTCTCCTGACAGTAACAAATAATACAGTCGGTTTGCCAGTCACCGCGCGTAATAAAACATGCACAGAAAATTCAGTTCTCGAGTAGATTCCAGCCTGACTTTTGATCTTCTACTTATTCGTTTTTGATCATGAGCCAGCAGCGGTGTTGGGTGATGCAAAATAAACACAGTGGAGCAACTTTGTGATTTTTCTTCAGAGTTACCCTTCTCAGATAGTTAAAACCATCAGCTGGCATCTTAGTGACAGACGCATCCTATTTTGCGTCAACCTAAAAAAGAAACCATCAGAGGTTGTGACCAGAGAGATGTTTTGTAGCAAGTGATCGAACTTGACAGGTTTATTGAGATTGTTTGGTATTTGTAAAGAGCTTAGAACGGATTGAGAAATAGCAAAAAGCATTCTTCCAGGCAAGTCATTTTACATCAAGTTTTAGTCATAAACAAAAGTGCCCCGCAGCAGTGCTGATTCAACTTTATTTAATAGAAAATCGTGCACAAGAATCAATAAAGGTTACTGATTTGCACACAGGATGAAAAACTGCAGATATATTGCAGCTGGCTGGGAATGGGTTTAACTTTTTTGTGAATTTTGCAGTTTAAAACATGGAATAGGACAGATTAGAGACAGGAATTTCTGTGAAAAGCCCCGTTTGGGCTGAAATTTCATTCCAGTGTCATGAATTCCCAACAACAAACCCTGTTATCAATAAAATCCTCTAGAGAGCAGATTTATGTTTTAAAGGGAATTACTTCTCTTCAGTACAAATTAACAGTTTTCCTTCTGTTTCATAAACCATATTGGATTTGTTTTCACTGATTACTGGACAAACTTTCAAAAGCATAAGGTATTAGTCTGTCTTGGGCCCCCTGAAACCTGCTCTTGTTTCAGTAAAGCAAAAAAACAGGACAAAGATACTATTGAGGACTTTAGGTAATACACTGCTTGTGGAATTCATGTTTTTTATAATAGCTGATATTTTGCATCCTGTTCTCATTCAAACTGATTTGAACCAAATATCAAAATCCTATAATTGCCTTAAGAACCCCTAATACAGCTGGAAATAAACTCTCCAAAATGTACTCCGTACTTTCAACATAAACTACATTTTATTTTGTGTACAGTCACTGCAGAGATGACTGATCAGAAAGCCAAAGTTGTCATGTAATATGTTAAGGTCTGTAGATCCTGATTATAAAAAAAGTTGCTCCAGAAGTCACAGCCACTTGCACACACTCAGTCAGTTTGTGTTTATACTTGCAGTGATTGTATATACAAAAGCTAGTTCAGAATCTCACAAGGACCTTGGGTTTTCCATTTCAGAAGAGGGAAAGGCAATTCTCTGAGTTCACACACAAACATTCACATTGCTCTCGTAAAAGGAGACAGAAGTCCAAACGCTGCTACAAAATAGTGTGTACCTCATGTACCAAGCTCTGCTTTGTGTCTTCTAGACAGCGCAAGTCACTTCAGGGTCTTGGGTGACATATCAAATTCCCTGTGAGCCAGTCTTACACGCTACACCGGTGCTTGTACAGTAGCACAAAGCAGACTAAGGGTTAAAACCAAAAATACAAAGAGAGATGGGCAAATGGAAACGCACTGCCCATTATACTTTGAATCCTGCCTCTGCTATTTTCGTAGTGTTCAGCTGCAATAAAGAATCTAAGAGCAAGAACATTTTATATCCTTATGGAGTTATACTGAAGTCTAAGAGAGACCTACATATGTCGCCAGAGGAAGAGATATACAATGAGTGACCTTTGAGAGCAAATATTTGCTTCACAGTGATATAAACACTTCAATGCAATAAATACAGGAAAATGAAAATGCTGCAACTTACTGTGGCGAAGGCAACACTGCAATAAAGTGTTCTTTTTTAAGCACACTCCCTGTTATTAAAGGACACATCTATTCTTCTCATGGATATTTGTAGCCAGAGGATGACTGCATTGGCATATTCTACTAAAAAAAGTCCGAGTTGGTCAATACCACACTTTACGCTTCTTTTTTGTAGGATTGAAAGAGCGTTACCACAGTGATGTGGCATTAGTAGAGCCACAGAAAACCCAAAGAGGCACTTTGGATCAAGCATCTCAGGATGGATGTTAAGCCATTTAAAGCTGGATGTTGGTTTGCAGCTATTCCCCTTTCATTGTTAATCTGGTCGTTGGTAGAAGGAGAAACACGCGCTGTCAAGAGGGGAGATGAAGTTGTGCTACAGACGAAGGGGGTCATCCTTGCTCCCCAGCGCTGCCTTGCAGCCGTCCAGCTGGCTCCCCGGGTGCTGTGCAAGGCATGTTCAGCCACAACGGGGCCAGGCATGAGGCAGTTCTGGGGCTCTACAGTATCCTCCTCTCAAGGGACACAACCTTTTCCCTGCTGCACCTCCCCAACAGCTATCACTGCCCAGCGGGGAGCTATCTAGAGTTCAGATGCCCAGCACATTGGCCACGTCTCTCACCGCCTT